CTCAAATCCTGCAGATTCCTGCAAATACTGACCTTTGGGCGGGCGAGTTGCCCCACTGAGCTCTGTGGTACTTGGGTGCTTCAGATTCTGCCTGCGCTTGAGTTTTGGCAGCACCAGAGCCTTATCCTTTCTCTTAGAGAAGGTCACACCTAACTCCTAGAGTGCTGGTGGCTCTGGTGCAACCCATCTGTCTCTCTGTTTTCCCTCACTTGGCATACAGAGTGAAGGTGGTAATTATTATTTTTTTTTTTAATTTAAAATAAACCTAAATATGTATCTTGTAATTTTTTTATTTTGAAAAAAAAATGCATTTAAGGATTGTGCACGGATGAATTGTATATCTATATATTTTTTTTTGTCTTGCAGTTTTCATTTTAAATATAGTGTTTGTTCAGTTTTGTTTTGGTTTTTGTTTGTTTGTTTTGGTTTTTTTTTTTTTTTAAATCCAGTTCCCAGCTGGCTAAACTCTGTCTAGAGCGGATGGGTGGGAGGTGTGGCCACTGGAGGGGTGATTGAATCACCCCTTCCCCTGGCGCTTCCCACAAGAAAATGGTTTGCTCCAGGTTTTGGGGGTGGGGGTTGTGCTAATTACTCTTGTATTCTTGTACATTTTGTTCTTTCTGCTGCTCTTGAATATTGTATCGATGCCAGAAATGGGGAGTTAAAAATTAAAAAAAAAAAAATTAACCCCAATAAATTGTTACATTCCAAAACTGTGTTGTCTTCTCTTCCTTTGGTGGACTGTGACCTGCTCTGGGTGTAATCTAAGGAGCTGGTAGTGGGGATCAGGTCTGTAGTCAAACGCAACCACACTTCGTACCTTCTCATCCACCCTGGGCTGGTTCTGGTTTGGGTCTTCAGACCTTTTTGGACATGTAGAAGCTCCAACAGTGGACAAGGGAGGCTCCTCCTGTAAGGCTGAGGAAAGGAGGGGCACTTTGGGAAGACCAAACTGTAGCAAGCAGAACCTGAACATGTTCCTCCAAAGTGCTCTGAAGAACCTCCCCTGGGTTTCCCACATCCTTTTCATTTAAAAATGAAATTAGATCCAAGCTCAACCTCGCACTTGGTGGCTGAAAGGTGCTTTAGGCTTTTCCCAACTCCGAAACATGTGCCTTAAGTGCACTTTACAACATGCTAATCTAAGAAATATGGTGGAAAATGTCTCTTAATGGGTGTAATCAAAGCCCCAAATTCACTGCATTAGTCTCTAGCCCATAAAAAGATATGAAAAGGTTACAGGAAAATGTCAGGTGGGGAAAGTGGGTGGATTTTGGGCACCAGCTCTTCAGGTGGACAGGGGAGAAGAGTGGGAAGTCAGGGCTTGGTAGTGGTTGGACACAGCTGTGGGGTGTCACCTCAGGGCTGCCCTTCAGCATGGTGACCTTGGTCTTTCCCGAAGGAAGAAAGGTTGGGCTGAGCTGGGGGTTCCTGGAGGAGTCGCTGCTGCCTTAGCTGAGGCTGCAGGTGCCTTGAGATGCCTCTCCAGCCTCTGAGGCCAGGAAAGTCACGGGAGAGCCCTCTCCAGCAGTGACGTGTCTTGGCTGGCCGGCAGCAGGGAATGCTGCCCACCCGAGCTGAGCACGGCCAAGGTGATGGTGCTATTTGTGTCGTGCCGTCAGGCTCACCTTGCCACCGCTGCCTGCCAGAGCGCCTGTGGGAACAGTGCTCTCTCCCTCACCCTGATTTCCCTCAGAGGCAAGTGGATCTGAGTATGGCAAACGAAGCCACCTCTGACCCATGCTCTCTGGAGCTGGGGGGAGGTTGGAGAGGTAGATACCAGCCTTGACCCGACACAGCCAACAAGGTCCTGTGTGAGTGTGTGGTGCAGGCAGAGCCTGGAACCAGGCAAGGTGATGCAGGCAACATCCGTGGGGATGTGAGACCTGGAAATGAAAGAAGCCAGGATTTCCACTCTACATGGAGATCCCCAAGCGGGATGGACTGTAGAGTCCTGGTCTAAGGAGAAGGTGGAGCTCTGTCTGTGGTGTGGCAGCTGTGGAGGAGCCTGGGTGTGCCCCTGAGCTGGGTGATAGCACTGGGGGGCAGAAATGTCCCCTAAGAAAGGGTTCTCCCCTTTCCTCACCCCTACCACCCTCCTGGCCTGAGCATCACAAACAGACTGGGGCTTTCCCTGGCCAGCAAGGGTCTGCCTCGTTCCCACAGGAGGGTTGGGTAGGGGGGCAGCAGATCTGCCCAGCTCGGAGAAGGAGATCTCCTTCCCCTGATGCCAGTAGCCCATCCCAAATGTCTCCCTTGCCTGGGGGGCCATGGCAGGGTGGCCCCTTGACCCACCTTGCCATGCCTGCAGCCACCCTTTGGGAATAGCTGCCAGCCTGAGACACCCTTCGGGCATTAATTAGATAGAAGAAAATCCCTTAATCACTTGCTCCCGGTCCCTCTGGGCTGAATCCGTGAGCTTTTGTTAAAATCAGCTTCCGCTGCCAATCCTGTTCAAACCTGAGCCCCCCAAAGCCCCCCTATCACCCCCCCACACCCTGTTACCCACGGGAGGACAGGGTTTCGGCATCGCCATGTCCTGGCAGAGCCGGCTGCCCACCCAGCATCTTTGAGTCGTCATTCACGGGACAGGGAGGCTGCTCTGGCTCCTCACCAGTCTGAGTCATCACCCCCTGCCAGAGTCTATTTCTGTCGCCTCTTTGTCTCCAGGAAGAAGTTGTGGTCCCCGCTGAGGGGGAGGGACGGGTCGGGACCCCGGGGGCGGTGAGCCTTGCCCTGCTGCAGAACCCCGTTCTTCCACCTCCTGGCGTGGGGCGAATGGGTTTGGGGCTGGTGTTGGGGGGCTCACCCACCCCACTCACTGCCACGGTGGTGTCAATGGGGGGGATCAACCTTGCCAGCGTGATCCTGCAGAGTTTGGCAGTGAACTCTGGATAGCTGGGTCAGCGCAGAGCCCCCAGCACAGCATCACCTCACCCGGCCTGAGACCCAAAAAGCCTCATCAATGCATATGGCATCTTCTTTGCAGGACGTGCAGGTGAAGGACACCCTTCCCACCCCTGATGTGCACGCCCTGGGGTGGGCTGGTCCAGCACCTGCATGGGTTAATCTTGAATCAGCTCCTGCCTGGCTGCTGTCAGGGGTGGGCACACTGCAGGCAGGGGGTGATGGTAGCAGGGGGTGGCACGGGGGGGGTACAATCCCCTGCCACCACTAGGAAGGGGCAGTCAGAGGCTGGTGGCCCCTCTCTGCGCTGCAGGGCACAGGTTTCCATTTTCTTTGCATCCCGCACTGGTGCCCACTTGTCCCAGGGCTCCCAGCTCTCCTCTGCCCGGAGTGCTCACCAGCTTCATCACTGGGGCCGGGTGCCCGTCGCTGGGCTCTCCCCAAATCCACCTTCTCACCCTGCCTCCGTGCCCATCTCCACTTTTCCTCCTCGCGATTCCCTTCATCTCTCCTTTTTCCTTAACCCCCCCCATCCGACTTCCTCCCCTCCTCCCTGCAGCCTCCCAGCACTGAGAGCCAGGCAGGCCTTTTGCTGGCTCCAGGGTGAGGATTTCGGGGCGGGGGGGGCTGGGGGGCAATGCCCTCTGTGGGGAGAGGGGGTGACCATGCCCTGCCAGCAGCACCCTGCTCCCAGCTTGCATGAAGCCAAATCTGAGGAGCCTTCATGGCTCCATCTCCCTTGCCATCCACTCAGACCTGCCTGGGGGGGACATGGGGAAGATGTTATAGAATTATAGAATGGTTAGGGTTGGAAGGGACCTCAAAGACCATCAAGTTCCAACCCCCCTGCCCTGGGCAGGGACACCTCTCTTTCCCCGTGTTTCATATCCAGCGCTGGAGCTGTGTTACACACACACGCTGCCGCTTCCCCGCCGGCTGGGGAGGATTTCCTGCCATCACTGAGCAGAGCTTAAAATCGATCTCGTTTGCTTTTCCTCCACTGCTCCTCTTGGCTCAGCTGGACCGGGCGGCCGAAGCCCCGGCGCCCCTCGGGGAGGGGGAGAGGACACGGCACGGCCGGTGTCGGACGGGCGAGAATATTGTTGGAGGAAGGAGAAAGCAGGTGCCTGAGGTGTCTTTATGAGTGGTTCAGGACAGCCGTGGTAGGGGAAGATTAAATGTAGGTGTTTATTTCCCAAATGGATGGCTGGGTGTGTGGGGCAGGGGGTGAGGCATCCCCCGGCTGCTCTCTGTCCCAGCTGTGTCTGGGGTGGGAGAGTGGGACCGTTGTCCCACCGCCCTCCCAGGGGAGGCACGTTCCAAGAACTGGGAGGTTTCTGGTTTAGTTTTTTAGGAGAAAGCCAAGGAGGGAAAGGCCCACCAACAGCCCGAAACACCCTCCTGGGGGACACCTGGCTGAGAGGCGTCAACCCTCAGGGTAACGAGGGGCCCTTCACCTCCAGCCTGAGCATCTCGCGGGGGAAAATCCTCCCTTGGGCTGTCCCGGAGGAGCATCCCCTCGGCGGTGGCTCCACCGGGCTGCCTTCAGCGACCCCGAGCTCGAGCACAAGCCGCCCCCGTCCTCGGGTGTCCCCAGGGTGCTCCTGGGGTGAGCCCCTCCCTGTCCGCTCCCCTCCGGCCCCCTTACCCGCTCACCTCCCGCCGCCGGGGCCCCTCTCTCTTGCAGCCCGGGGTCGCTAAGGGTGCCCGGGCCATGCGGGGCTGCACGGCCGAACCGGGGCCGAG